CCTAATATCTCACTCTCAGACCTGATTGTGTTTGCTGAAGATCCTAATAAACTCACTCAGACCTGATGCGTGTGTTATTGTCCTAGTATCTCCTCTCAGACCTGATGTGTGTTGTGGTGCTGTAGGTCCTAATATCTAACTCAGACCTGATGTGTGTGTGTTTAGGTCCTAATACTTATATGTCACCTCCACTCAGACCTGATGCGTGTGTTGTAGGTCCTAGTATCTCACTCAGACCTGATGTGTGTGTTGTAGTCCTAATATCTAACTAAGACCTGATGTGTGTGTTGTAGGTCCTTATATGTCACTCAGACCTGATGTGTGTGTTGTAGGTCCTAATATGTCACTCAGACCGGATGTGTTTGTTGTAGGTCCTAATATGTCACTCAGACCTGTCAAGGTCCCCATATGTGGCAATAAAATCATGCGGGAAAAAAGTTTCTTTTAACCAAAATATCAACAGCTAGCTGTGTTACTGATCACACCCTGCTCCCCCCTATGTGATCCTCAGGTCTCTGGGACCTTCAGAAAGGCACGTCCTGATATGTCACAGTGCAGACATAGGTCCTCATTTGTCAAGCAAACGCGTATGTGTGTGTTTGTCTGTGTGTGTGTCTGTGTGTGTGTGTGTGGGTGGATGGGAGCGCGCGGCGGTGAGGAGAGAGCGCCTCGGAGGTAGAGGGGACAGAGCGAGAGCAAAAAGAGCGAGGTGTTTGTAAAGTTTAGCGTATTAACATTACGCGAAAAATAAATGGTAGATTTACGATCATGAAACAATTATTTTAATTTAATACATGAAAAAAATGACACACATTTGTTAATAATCATTGTCATTAACAAACACTTAAAACCAAGGACTACAGCATATATCAATACATGTTTAATAATGTGGTAAACATACTATTCCATTGTATTTTCAATGGAAAACGGACCCGACACGCGTCGACGGACGGAACAAATAGGATTGTTTCTATTTCGTTCGTCCGCATCCGTTGCACCCTCCGTTGACAGAATGCGTCTGACGTGCGTTGGATGGACGCATGTTGGAGGCAGTGGAGCCACTTCCATTCACCCTCATGGAGATAACGGAGACGGAGATGAAACGGACACGTTTGGACGGATACGTCGTCCGTTTTACACGCCCGGTGGAGTCGGGGCCTTATTGTACTCCATAGTGTTCCTAAAATGCAGTCTCTCCGCTTTGAGCTTTGTATAAGTACGTTCTGGTTTGAAGATTGTGGACTTGATGCGTGTCATGTTCCAGCACGCGCAGGTGAGAAAAGTTCCTCAAAGCCGTGTGTTTGCAGCTTGTGCGGTCACACGGATCAGTCACTTTGCTCGACACGCCTCGGTGTTGGATATGTCTTTGCCTGGATGGTTTTATACGCAAGCATTTGCATAAGTACATGCATGCATTCTGCTCCGGATCCCTGTCAACCAATTACTAAAAGAATTTGTATGCAGCGTATCTCATTGTAGCAGTTTTTAACAGTGCGACAGCCCCTGATTGGCATCCTCACCTCCTCCTTCCACTGCCCTAGTTGCTCCCTCTTTCACATACAGTAAATTTTCTACTTTGCAAACAGCATAGTCAAGCACAGGTCAACTTTGTAGTGCAATGGATTATATTTTGACCAGAATAACTCACCTCTCCCTCTCGTCTTGCAAAAAACATACATATACATGATGTTTGTATATTTTTAAAGCCTGAAATCGTTTGGACATTTATGTCAGTGGTTAGCACTTGCTTCTTAGCAAGAATATCTTGGGTTTGAATACCGGTAGGAACAGGACCTTTGTGAGTGAAGTTTGCATTGAAGGATTGTCAAATGAAATTTCCTTACCAGGATACTAAAGTATGCTTTAACTTTATCCTTAACATGACTGCCTTTAAACAAGATCAAATAACTTTATATATAGTGTCTACTGAACACAGATCATACGTCTCACAGTGAGTACATTTACAAAACATAAAGTGTGTTTATTTAAATAACTTGTTGTTGGTCCCAAACTGGTCTGACCATAGTGATCCTGTCAGGGGTTCCCAAAGATTTTAGCCCATGACTCCCATGAGAAATGTGCTGCTGCCCCGCAACCCCCCACCTCAAAAACCCTTCCAACAACTGTTCCCATTATGTAAAATGCATGTATATCCTTGATTTGGAGTATGCTAGGTTCAAGTAATGGGCTTGGTGGGCTCCCCCCTTTTGCCGAAGTGGAGGGCATTTCTTGCGGATCGTCCTCACTGTTCCCTCCGCCACAGTCTTCACCATCAGCCTCACCTCTGGCACATGTGACTTTTCTCCCCCTCCGGGTTTTTCTGTTGTGGATATTAACCACGTTTCATATTAAAGCAGGTTTTATTTGTAGCCTCCAAACACCTTCAGCTTTAGCAAACAACAGCAGGACATGTTTTGTCGCTGCGTGAGATGTAAGCTACGGAACTTGATATTGATTGACGTTGTCGTAATCTTGTAATGTTTTAGGACAAGATTACAAATGTAATTAAGATATACTGTATATTATTTTTTCAGACTCTTCTTCAAATACAATTTAACAAGTAGTCATATCGAGTCAAATTAATTGCAACAAAAATATTTAAGGGCTTTATATTTGTTCCACTTTTCTTTTGTTGTTTTAGTTTTTTTTTCAAATCTCCCCCTTGCGAACCAATGCTCCAGTATAAGGGATATGTATAATTCAGTTCAAACTGTAAGCACTACCACTCCCTGCCAACAGAGGACAGACAATTTTACAACACGTTATCACAGTTTCAGAGCTAGATCAGTGAGGGGCTGGTGCTCTATGAATAGGCTCTATCCACGCACCACTTCTGCGTTTTAGTTAAAACGACGCTTGAATTCCGGTGCGCGGGGATCGGCTTGAGTTTCATTGTAGTTCACAAGATGTTTTCATAAGTTTCCTAAATAATGCTCAAACAGGAATTAAACTGTGAGGATGCTGGGTATTTTTGGGACACAGCAGTGCTCTTTGATTGTGCTGTCATTGTACTTTTATAAAGTTAACTAATCTCTCACCACAATGCTATAGCGCTAGCACAGGCAGGAAGTAACTGAGTCGTTCTTTGTTTATAAGAAATTACGTCACGCCTCCCCGTGCATATAGCCCATTGGGTGCAGGTCTGACTGCACCCAATGCTTCCCCTTAATCCAGAAATGGATTAAGGGGAAGAAAATTAATAGATGGATGATCATCATTTTTTTGCTGTTTGCACAGTGTTAGCTGTTTTTAATTAGAGGAGGAGGGATGGGGGAGGCTCCTGATTTGATACATTTACAGAGCTGGTTCTGTCTGTATAAAACTATACATGACTTCATCTCTGTGTGGACATGGCCTAATTCAAGCAAATATGAAGCTCCTTTTGTGCAGTGTATTAGTATTCCCAGTGATATAGGGTGTGAACAGAGGTAAAAGTCAAAGAAAGTGCATCGTAAGCATATGAATGAGTAGTTATTAAAGTCCCAAAGAAATGAGTAAGTCCCAGCCCCGCCGAGCCTATTCCTCCATGCATCGTTGGTGTCTGTGCCAGCCCAATTTGCATGACTTACAGTTCTCCACCGGTGCCTAAGTGTTACACCAGCTTCCGCGGGACAAGGTTATGAACACACAGGGACCGCGCCACAGCACAGATCCGACTCATAAATCTCCTAACCAGTCTGCGGCTGGAGAGCTCTCAAACAGGCCGTTAAGCAGCATCAGCAAACATATAAATATGGGATGAAAGGGCACTGGAGCGGAGGAGACTGTCCCAAGCAGGGGGGCAAGGACATGGCTCATTCCAAGTAAAAAAGACACACCTGAGGAGCTTTTATTCAGTGAAAATAGGCAGTAGTTATCTCGGATGACTTTACAAAACCGTTGAATATGACATCACAGATCAGAGAATCAAACAGTTCAACACAACAAATGCAATGATGAAAAAGCTCATAGAGCCATTGGTCCATAAAAATGTTGTTGAATGTTGAGTATCTTGGAGATCCGCTCCCACAGATATATTAATCCTATAATATTCATTTAGTAATAAATTGTGAAATTATTGTATTGCACTGTTTAGATCAGACCATAAAACTATTAACCAGTTATCGGTATCAAGTGTGATTTAACTTTATCAAGTGTGCATTTATGATAGCTGTAGGCATGCACGGCTCATTCATATTTAAACATTTCCAGATTATTTGTAATTTCTAAATCCTTAGGACTTAGACAGTAGTGAGAGTGCAATGTGTCCTCAAAGTGAAAATCTGGTGCTCATCAAAGACCACATGGAAACATTAAAAGAGCTTTTACGTATAACTTAATGTGTAAAGTATACAGGCTCGTAAAGGGGGATCAAGACGATCTGCTTTAATAGAAGAGTGACGCCAAAGTATTTTGACTAACGTCCAAATTGGACCGAATCGAGCCATTGACGATTAATTTAACTTTGGAAACTCTTTTGTTTGAAATTTGCGGTATACATTGTGTATTATTGTCACGCCGATACTTGACATTTATTGATATTGTCTACCTGAAGCTATTTTTTTTTGTTTTGATCTTGATTGTGCAGATTGTTTGTCTGATATGGTGCCTGTGTGTGTTAATGTAAAAAAACCTTTTGAATTAACATCACACGCAAACCACGCTGGAGTCTCAGCTCTAACAAAGTAATAGTCTAATTAAATTTGACTTTTTCCTAATTTAAAATTGTATGTGGCAATTTCCATGGACTCAAACATGCTGAGAAGAGGTCTTATGACTTTGATTATTCTATAATGATAGAAGAATGAAATCAAAATGTGTTTACAAAGTATTTTTACAACATCTAAACAACAAATCGATTAGTCGAAGGAATAACCGGCCAACTAACCGGCCACTATATCTAACCAGTCCACTTCCACACCAGCACAAACAAAGAGAACACGCTGGTGTTTTGAACTGGATCAGCTGGTGCAGATGTGAGAGCGCTCTTCCACACTGTGACACGATGTTCTCTGGTTCAGCTTCAGGAGGGGCAGCTGGTGGTCTGTCAGTTCCAGTTCCTGCGCTGGTCGGCCTACAGAGATGTCCCGGACTCTAAGAAGGCTTTCCTCCACCTGCTGGCTCAAGTGCACAAGTGGCAGAGGGACTGTGGAGAAGGACGCACTGTGGTCCACTGTCTGTGAGTCTGCACTGCACCTCCACACATTTACAGCATTCTACTTTTCATTATTTTAAGATGTTTTTGGCAATTGTCAACACACACTTTTGAACAATGTGGTTAGAGAAAATACTCAATTAGCCAATTGATTCTCTAAATCCAAGATAGGATCCATTCTAACTAGAAATGTCTTTTGATTAATTTGATATTAGAAGTATTATAAGTATAAAGTCAACTGTGTTCTACCTTGAGAGTCCTTGATGTGATCTTGTTGGCACGCTGCAGAGGTGGTGCAGTGCGTGGAAGCCTTCTCTGTGCGCACTTGTCCTGAGCCCCTGAGCGCACTGCTGATGAATATGAATGTCCGTTCATTAGGGAGAAAAGCTCCTGCACTCTGTCTCGTTTTGATTTGGATTCTAGCCGGGTTCGGGTTTGGAAAAAGTTGTTCATGTCGGGTTCTCTTGTTGGCCCCAATTACAGCTCTACTGGTTTACAGCATTACAATAAATAAGAGTTTGCAGTTAAAAAATAAGTACAGTTCTCTTCTTATCAGTGCATAATAGTGAACACAGAAGCAGAGGGAGGACAGTGATTTTTTGTTCATTGGTGTGCACTTTTCACATGTTTTACCAACATGCCAAACCACACGGACAACTCAACATCTACAGTAAACCACATACACCTGTGACCTTCTATTCATCCCTATCTTCTCATTCTGTCTCCACACATAGCCAGATTGAGTTTCATCTAAACCAGGCATGTCAAACTCAGGCTCATTTTTATTGGCCCCTAAAATGATTTTCAATTATTATTAACTTGCAGCATTGATGGTTATGGGGTACCAAGGCATGTTACTTTATTTAAAAATGTTAACCCAATTATTAGAAGTTAAATAGTTAAATATAAAACAATGTGTTCAACTTTATATTTGTTCCAGTTTAGTTAAATCTATACAATAAACACATTTTAAAATTATTTCAATCAAACCATAAAATAATAGTGAAACTCATGAGAAATAAGAGGAAACTCAAAATAACATTGTAATGTAAAAAAAAAAAAAGGAAATCCCATGACCAAAATGAATTTAACACCCCTGATCTAAACACAACTTCAGCTCTGTTTGTGATGAGGGAACAAAGGTTAAACTCTAGGTCTTATTTTTTGGCACGCTGCAGTGGAAGCCTGGGTGCCCGCTCTCCTGTTGTCCTGAGCCCCAGAGCGTTCGCCGCTGATGAATATGAATGGCCGTCCATGGCGTATTCAGCCCACATCCCACACTCCATCCACACACGCATCACTCAGCGCTGTCACACACTGTTACCCGCGACAACCGGGAAAAAGATTATGGAGATCAAATCAATTATGGCTTAATACGGAATGCGCGGGTTGCCACTACAGTAAATCCAAGGCTGCCAGCTCCCTGACAACGATTGATTGCCTTAATATCGCGGGTATTGGCTGCAGACGCCGGGTCCACCTTCACTGGGTTGGTCCCAAGAGACAGGAAGTGGATTGTCCTCCTCCAGTTTATTGCTATTTTCTTTCATTTACCAAGACTGGAACAATATTTGATGCCACAACACAGGGCGGGGTTATTTCCTAAATATTTTCCAACATTGGGTTTTGGGAAGGTCCTGACGAAAGGAATATAAAGCTTAAATGACTCTATACTAGCACTATTTCTATACGATTATATTTGTTTTAGTTTTTACCCGTGTTACAACATTGTTCTCTCATCAAAAACAGACCTGGAGTTGTGTTTAGCGCCACCACGCTGATATTAGGACATTTTGGCAGATATCGACGCAAAACACATCCCCCCACCTCTTTGGTTTAAATGATCTTGTTCTCAATCTAAAATAAATACATAAATAATGACTTGTCTTTGGTCGGGAACCAGGTCTGAACTTAGTTGTAACATCTGTGGTTGTAACCAGGACTGAACCAGGTTTGAACCAGGTCTGTACCTGGTCTGAACTTTTTTCTTATTTTTCATCCTGCATTTACTCCAAAGTGTAAATTCCTAAAAATACATACCCATCCATCTATCTTCTTCCCCTTAAACCATTTCTGGATTGGGCGGGTATAAAAATATTTAATAAATACATATTAATAATTATAGTATTGTATTATTAAAATACATACATATATCATTATACGTATACATATTTTTAATAAAGTGGATCTGATTTAAAGCTATGTTAATGTGATTATTCATGATGTTAGCAGAATACACACATCTCCCATGAGTGTCTTTGGTCTCTCACTACACGCCAGAGCAACGTTAGCGTGTTCAAATTTGTTTAGGTGAATTTCTGCTTGGCGTGTCAAGTGATGGGATTTTTCGTAAACAGTCCGAGACAATATGAATAGTAGAAAAGGCAAAGACAAGGCTCCGCAGTCCTATATATTTGTTCATGTTTCATTTACAAAAGCAATTTCTCCAACGCCTGGCTGTCTGTAATGAGAAACGCCACATAAATTAACTCTGCAATTTTTCTCTTCTGTCTTCTCCAAATAATGTTGCTTTTCATGAGGCGTTTAAAATATGGTGATGGTTCTGTAATACTTCTTCATTAGATGGAGATACACGTTTAGAGATCATTGCATAAAAACAACCAAGTTAGAATATTCTGGTCATTCTATTTCCGAAAGTAAAAGTAAATATTCATGTAAAAAGTTCCAATGCGTTATCCCTCAATAATAGGCCGTCTTCTCATGATACGCTACAAACCTGCATGACTGAACTTACAGTAGAAGCATGGATAACACCTGTCAACATGAATTATTAAACTTAGAAGAATGGCTACCACTTCAAGCCCATACAACGGAACTTAGAAGAGAGGCAACACTTCAACTCTCTGGTTCTCTTAATAGCACAGTGTCGAGTTAGCAAATTAGGGATGCACTGGAGTTCTTTCACAAGGGCCGTATGGGGCTTTCAGACCAGGTCAGGCATTGCGGCGACTTTCCATGTGACGTGCGTTCGAACGTGGAACTGAATGTGCGTCTGGGCATGCACACACAAACTGGGCAGTAGAGGTGCGGCAGAGGCACGGAAGCGGAAAATCAGATAAGAGAGCTGCAAAGGACATAGCGAGCAGACTAAAATACTCGTAAACAGCCAAAACAGGAACTAAACAGGACTAAACCAGGATTGACAATGGGGAACACAGTGCTTGTGAACATATGCCTCAAGCCTGAGTTCTCATTCTCCAGTGACAGTAAAAAAGTGCAGCTAGCTGTTCGCCGAAGCGGAAGTACCGTTTAATAATAAAACAAACTTATGGCGCACCTCCGTGAACACATACTGCTGTTCTATGAAGTCTCTGGAAGGTCTCAGACACAGAGACGCTGCAGAGCTGCATTCTTGGAGAAGAAATTTAGACAAAAAGCCGCTAGATTAACTCCGTTTGCATTAAAGGCCGCCCGCCACTTCTGCCGAGAGCCAGAGGTCAGGACTTCTGGTTTGAACACCCATAGCATCTGAAATTTAGAGAATGTGCGTCCAATGCGCGTGGAAGCTGCGTTCCAGTGTTGGCGGTCTAAATGTCCCACGAGTCAAACAAATACATTTTTGTGCTCGTCTCAACTAAACACATTCCCAATCAACTAAAAAGTGGCCAACACAAATTAGTATCCATCCCAAACTGGATGGCAAACTTAAATTGTTATTAAATTGTAAAATTTGGTTGATTGGGAAACCACTGCCTGATTAAATGACAAACCACCAGATAATGGCAACCCTACTTTTTACACATCTCCATGTGCTGCTGTTTTGTGTGTGTGTGGTGACAGAAATGGCGGCGGTCGCAGTGGTGTGTTCTGTGCCTGTAACATCCTGCTGGAGATGAGTCAGTATCAGAACATGGTGGACATCTTCTACGCCGTCAAAACTCTGCGCAACTGCAAGCCCAACATGGTGGAGTCTTTGGTGAGGGCGCAACATACACACACTCACACACACACACAACTTTTACATGTATGACTTTATTCAATTTCAATTCAATTCAATGTATTCTTGTATAGTCCTTAATTACAACAGTAGTTATCTCAGAGGACTTAACAAAACTGTTGAAATCGTCAACACAGATCAGAGAATCCAACAGTTCAAACAGAAAAAATATAGAACACATAGCATTGGTCCATATTGGTGCCTCCTTTATGACACCTTTGTTTCAAATGTCTTCAGTTAGAATAGATTAAAACCAACGCGCTCTGTTACTTTCACCTGGGAAGACTGCCTGTTGGTGCATAATCCACGTGGTCTATTTTTGCTGCATCTACGTCTGGAGAGGTTTTCTGGTGATCAAACATGTGTCCTCAACACCTGTGAAGCCACGCGATCAACAAGGCATATTATTGATAATGATTTTCAACGGATTTTACCACTAGTGACACCCGAATTGCCCACTGACTCAAATTTCATTAGCTTTATAAAGACACGCGAACATTTGTGCGTGCCAATTTAGGTGTGAAAAACTAGTGCAGTTGGAGGTACTGGTGCGTGCATGTAACAATATAAATTGACGAGCAGTGACGCATTTGAGCTCACAGGGGAAAAAAACCCAGCTTATTATAACAGAAATGTATGTGTTTGGACGGGTGCAGGCGACTCACTTTTCTTCAGGATCAGTATAGTTTGTCTTTGCACATTCCTCGCTTAACATTAATCATTTCCATAGCGTTTAAGATGGCTGTGGAAATCCAATGAGTTATACCGCCCACAGCTGAGCATGTCTGAAAATAAAAGTAAACATCATGTTGTAAGATTACATTTGCAGCCTGTGTGCTTTTAATGTTTACATCAGGGGTGCTCACACTTTTTCAGCATGCGAGCTACTTATAAAAGGATCAAGTCAAAATGATCTACCTACTACAAAAATGCAAATCATATATTTATTTCAAAAAATATTCTTTATATCTACAATGTATGTTTATGTACATGCAAAACCGCATGAGCCAATATAGCACAACACAACACAATTATCTATGTACATTTTTTGTCATTACCCGAGTTTACTCTGATGACTTGCACTGAATTGAATCGGCCAGGGATGCATAGTCCGGAAAATTGGTGGTAACTCGCTGACAAGTTTGTCGTGGTTTAGCTTTGTTTGCGCATGTGCAGGCACCTAAGTGTCAGTAAAACATTACTGAGTAAAACACAGATGTCATTTGACTGTGGTGCCATGTCCATGTGCCATGCCTGGTTTTTTTAAATACAAATATTTCCCCTCCTCCGTTTATAAAATAATTTGCATCCACACATCTGCGTTATCAATCACATTCGTAACATTCCAAACATGTGCGTCTCTTACGTCCTGTCCTGCGTTGGGGAAAAACACAGAAGTGGGCGGAGCTTTGATGCAGACGCCGGTAACGGCACTTTTACAGTCATAGAAGACACTCAGAGTAAAGACGTATGTTTACAAGCACTGACCCCGTCCTCAGCCCTGGTTTAGTCCTGGTTTAGTCCTGGTTTAGTCCTGGTTTAGTCCTGGTTTAGTCCTGGTTTAGTCCTGGTTTAGTCCTGGTTTGGTTGTTTTCGAGCGTGAGTCCCCGCGATCACTTTGCTGCTCTCTGATGTGGAGCGAGGATGTTCGCTGCTGCGAGCATCTCACAGTGAACAGTTTTTAAGGTAGTATGATCCATGCTTCAGTGATCAGAGGAATTTAGGGGGGTACTGTGGCGTGCGAGAACGCAAAACTCCGGTTATCTCTGACTACACACAAATGCATTAACGGAGTTTTCAAAAATCTCCACTTTGCCCGGAGTTTTTTGTATATATTCGTTTATAATGTGTAATTTTTTATTTATTTAATGCGATCTACCAATACTACCTTTGCGATCGACCGGTAGATCGCGATCGACGTATTGAGCACCCCTGGTTTACATGATAGCAATTCTATTTACAATTACAGTTACAAAGTTTGAGTGATATGGGAAAGTTACGACATGCCTTTGAAAGTCCTCAGATCTGGAGCCTTGAGACCATGGATCTATTATATTAACTGGATAGGGTATTAATAGCTTGTAGCTGAATAACTCATGTGCTCGGGGGATTCTCGCGGTACTGCAGACTGAACCAGACTAAATTCATGTGGGCTACCCAGAAATTTTCCCCATAGGACTCAATGCATATTAAAACAGCTCAACCTCAGCTGACAGAGAACCTACAGCTTTCATAAAGGTCGGATTTTGTGGGGATTTTAGTGTCCCTTGTCATCCTGAACTTTTTTTCTTCTTAAATCTTTCGGTTTTGTTTAAATCCACACTTTAGTGCCACAAACTCTGCTCGTCTGGCTCTCGCTCTAACTCCCGCTCTGATGAACTGCTCTGATTGGTCAAAGCGCGCCCTCTGTGCACTTGCGTGAGACCCGGTGTGAGACCCACACACGCGTGTTTGGCGCAACGCATTATGGGAGATCATCCACTGCGCAGAACCGGGAGGACCAGACGATGCCCAAATACAGGCGAGTTTCCCATAGATCTTTGCGAGTTCCAGGCGACTTCCGCTAATCTTTCAGCCCCCATGCCGTCACAAAGTGCCACTGAGCACAACCATTCATTGGAATAGGGCGCCATCTTGGATCGCCGGGGCTTGCTTGAGACGGTTCTTTGTGTCTCCACTGCAGGGACTTCCCCCACAGGGCCATTTACAGAAACTTTTATGAGGCCCAATGGAGTCCCTCCTCCATGCTAGGTACTCCTACGGGCCCTGAACAGCTCTTGGTGGGGCTTGAGGTTAACCCGGCACTGATTGCCTAAAGCTAGCGCAGGCTCTGGCACCGGCAGAAAGCACCAAAACAACCGGCATTCAGCAGCATTAGCCTAGCAGACACCACTGGAAAAAGCAAACACCACGGCATTGATTCAGAAGGGGTTTAAGGCATCGCGGCGAAATGAAAAGATATATTTCACTAAGACATATTAGCTTCACCTCGAAGCACTGGGGAGTTAAAAAAATGAAGCAGCTCAAAGACCATAACAACCGGAGTAGTTACAACTGTAAAATAAACAAGTGGGTTTGTCATAATGAGTTTTGCTAATGCGGCAATCAAAACTCATGACGTTTCCGAGTGGTCCTACTCTGCAGTGGAGACACGGCTACTGAGAGGGCCGAGGGAGGAGTTCCACCCCGCTCCTTTTACCAGGAACTCCTGCAGTGGAAACGCGGCTTATGACCGGTTTGATAATCCCACCGCATTGAGTGTAGTTTTTGATCTTACTTGTATTCTTATTCTTTATAAACACACTTGTTGCTTTGGACTCTTGTTCCTTCCTCACCAAAGTGGTTTTCAGTGTACGCCAGGTAAATGGCAACTGACTGGCTTAGTGTCAAACCTCTTGTCATCCTGAATTCATAGAACCGTAGTTACATTCATAACTTTAATTTCTATGGTTGTCAAGTCGACCTGCAAACTTCACCACTAATAAATTGATATTTGCTTGAAATAGGCAAGCAGATGTTTTTTTCTCTTCATAGGGAACTTAAAAAGAGTTGAGGAAAGTTTGTTTCACTAATTTTTGACTCAAACAATCAGCTCAACAACAAAAAATCCGTTAAAATTTGAATATCCAAATTATTCCTCAATCACATGCACATAGTATACTGCTTACTGCCTAGCCTTTGAGACCACGCCCCCTACTGACAATGTGCGTGCCATCACGTACAGATGATTTCTAGAATACTGGATCACACGTTTGAGCCCAAAGCCTGTTTCGTCCTCAGCCTCAAATGTGGGCCTTGTTCTACTTACAAATAAAAGTGAAATCATGACATGGCTAACTTCTGTACATGTGTTTGCCCACAGGACCAGTATCGCTTCTGCTACGACCTGGTTCTGGAGTACCTGGACTGCTTTGAAGAGAGATAGCAACAACGTTTTTTAGCAGAGTAGAGCAGACGAGAGCTCAGGAGAGCTCAGGAGAGCGCAGGAGAGCAGAGAGGGGAGGCTGCAGTGACCTCCACACTCTGATGTCCTGAAGCGCAGACAGGGCAGCGGGAGAACACCACAGCTTGGACTCCTTCTACTTTCGTATTTTATGCTTTTTTGCCTCCGGACAACTTTTTGTGTAGGACTTGTGTAGCAATGACACAACATTCTGAGCTACACTGTAAAAAATAAATAAAAAAAAAGATAAAAGAGATAGTGGCGAGCTAAAGTACAGTAAACGTACAAACATATTTTTCTCAATTTGAGGGGATCTGGATGATTTGTTTTATAGGATTTCACTACACAAAAGTGTGCTAAATTGGCTTTTTAAGGTTTGGAGTTGGAGTTATAAGCTCCATATATGCTATTATCAGAAAACATAACGGATGCTTCTCGCTTCACCTTCTGTCTAAATGCACCTACTGTATGTCAAATTTGTTTTGCTAGCATAATGCGTCATAGAGAGCCTTTTTTAGCAAGAGTTTTTTCTCCAGTCTTAGAGCCTTGTTTATTTATCCACCTGAAAGGTTGGCACTTATGTGGTCCCCTCTTAAGGTGGAGTAACCAATGACATGGCTCCAGTCGTCTCGCTGTCGGATTTGACAAAGTTGTTGATTTGCCAACAAATTCAGTGAATTAAACAGTTCAAACACAGGGAATACACGACTAAGCAATTGGTGTATAGGGAGGGGGATGAGCAATGTCTGTAATCATCCATATATGTCCATACACATGTCCCCATGCCTGTGCCTGCAAGATACTGAAAAAATATACCTCTGGGAGGCCCACCGTGAGAGAGGGATCTGCTCCCACAGACAGATGCTGTAGATCTAGGACTCAGGCTGTAAAACAAGCATCAAGGCTGTAAATCCAGGACTGAGGCTGTAGATCCAGGACTGAGTGCTGTTGAAGCTTAGAGGCTGAGAAGCTCTCAGATATCTCCCCAATCAAGATCAACATTCTGTTTATTTGCCATTTGCACTAAACCACAATTAAATAACTGTGCAATTTGACTCCAGTGTGCACCGGAGTACACACCAGAGCTCTTTCCATGACGCCATGTCTCGCTGCCGTGCGACCATGATCACTGGGGTTGTGCATTGCCTTGTATCTGGCAATACAATGTGTATCATGATACAGGGATATTTCCCAATATACTAAGTACTTTTAAAAATTAAGTACTTACTTACTGACTTGCATTTTTTTACTATTTTTCATTTATTTTGTTTTTAATCACAATTTTATAATATGAATCAATATGATGTGTTTCATTCTGCAAAACAATATCCAGGGGGATTAAATAAGAGAATATAAATCAGGTGCGTGAATTGAAAGTTTAGCATTTCATGTTCTCTTTAAAATAGATAAGTAGACATCATTTTATTTGCCATAGCCGATCTAGTCAGAACAATAAAAATATGTTTGTATTTTAAGCCACAGTAGCTCGACGAGATGTTTTGTGCAGCGTACGACACAAATGCGTCGTGGAGAAGATGGGTCACCTTGGCTGCGGTGAGGGTGATAGATGGAATTTCAGACTTTCAGCAGTATTCCGTTTTCCTGTGTCCCCGGCTGTAGCAGCGGTTTCTCCCATATTTATACCATGAACTGCCTTATCCATATCCCCACACAATCTCACCGGCGCAATTGTCTTTTCTCTAGTGTTTGTGATGTAGGAGATTACCACTTGTGCTGTCGGTGGACCAAAGCTCACACAGGCCTGTCACAAGAACTAACAGCTTTATACCGATGACAAAATAACTGTACTCAGATAAACTGCAGACAGGAGCTATGATTAGCCATAGAACCATCCCTACATTCAATCTGTATCTACAGATATTATACATCCATAAAAAAACACTGTTTTGCAAAATCAATGAATCAGTGAATATGAATATTATGTATTCACTTTGTATGCAGTGTTTAATTTTATTTAGCAAAACATAAAAGTAAATGGTCCAGTTTTAATTTTCCACAGATATAATGTGAGTGTGATTTCTTCTTTAAATAAATGCATTTTGTGATTTGCTACATGCGTCCACTGAAAATACAAGTTTGAAGCCTGCGCCAACACAAGTATTGACCTGTAATATTGTTATAGGTTTTATCAAATATAAGTGGATGTAGTAAATGTGACAGGTCTGAAGGCTTGGACGAGCCCTGCACAGTCCTGGTCCGGACTTCTTTCTGTCGCAGTGCCAACCCCAAAGCCTTGAGACCTTTTGTTATGCATCACCTGGATGAACAGAATTTGCCCCTATACACAGTTTGTAAAGTACTGGCTGTTGTGGTTGTGTTTTGGTGTTTTAAAGAGCTCTTCAGTGACATCTGAACCAGCAGCACCTGCAGAGGTACACACAGCATTGCACCGTGAATGTCCTCGCTTATAGACTGTGCAACCATCGTTACCCAAACGCTTCAAGTTTAAAGCAGGACTTGTGTTTGTGGGGGAGAGATTAGAGCTGATAAAACTATACAAACCTTAGATATGCTTTGAAATCTGCTTCTCCGTTGTCCCAGCGCATCATTAAGATATGCACACTGACACTGTTGAAGTTTCTCCCAAATACCTCCCATTTGTAGTTTCTCGTCTCACCCGTGGTAAAGAGGGAAACTCGGAACATAGTGAGAGAAAATCTTTAAGTTTGGTGAATTGGAATGAAGAATACTCAATTAGAATGAAAGTCAGTAACAAGCACAGCATCCGTGCTCGCTGGCGCATGTTCAAAGTGCGGCTTGGTCTCGTCCGCTGGGACATGTGCAGTGGGTGCTTCCTCCATCATGGCATCATGCTCTATACGAGGAGAGAAACATGGGACCATTTTAACCAATCAGTGTGCGCTGATTAGAGCGGATGTGAGCTGGATGAATTTGTTGCACTAAATTGAGGATTTATAGATGATTTATATTTATTAGAACCGGTGCAGTACCGCAGGTGACCTGTCCACACGTAAGAATAGATTCATGGTCTGAATTAACCCGGTAAAGTGTGCAAACCTGCAGGCGCCCCCTGGTGGGAACGATGTGAAGTGTATAGCGCTTTGGGTGACCTTGGCCTGTAAAAATGTGCTATATAAACATAAATTACTTTCACAGTTCCACATAAAGCAGCTGTTACCGCCGTGAGAGATTTGGACGTTTCTCATATTTCAACTTTTACCCTCTAAACTGCAAGTTTAGTCCGTCTTAAAAGAAGATTTGCCAATGGGACGAGCTAACATGAAAAGCATTGTAGCAAATGTTTTGTCATTTCCAATGCTTGTCTTTTGACCTTAACATTTTTGGTTGTCCCATTGGAAAATCTTCAATTCAATCACTTGTTGACTTGTTTTTTGTAAAACGTTTTTCAGTTTTATTATAAGATCATTCTTTGTTTTGAATGCTGGTGAATTTCTCATTTTGAATATTTGTACTTTTAAAATGTTTACTGTATTTCATTGATATCTGTATTTTGCTGTATTAATTTTTTCAAAAGGATAAATTCCCCTTTAAAATCTGATGTATAGACAGAAGAAAGACATATATTCATGTACAAATGGGCATTAAAAAGTGTAGTTTTTGTACAATCATTATTTTTACAGTTAATTTTAACATTCTCATAATATAACAAATACATTTCCCAGGAAAAACTGAAATATATAATATATATCATTCTATTTAGTTAAAGGGCAGAGTGTATTTGAAAACGTAAAAAAATATATAGTTTTAAATGTTTACGATCTAAGGAGAAATATGTTGTAAATTTGACATTTAAGTGTTTTTAATGGTTACATAAATGGTTTTCTCTTGTTTTTATTTGACATGAAGAGTTTCTAGAAGTCAATGGACCAGTTGCATTAGGCGTTTTCGCACTGTAGGAACTTCTTCTTCTGGCACATTTTTTTTATTCCATTTTATTCACACTTAATAAGAACCAATTCCATTTGTTTTTGGATAGCCCTGAATCACAAAAGCAGTCATCTTGTGAGGACACAGGAAATGAAATGATGACAAACACATAGGAGCCATTGGTCCATAAATGTTCTGGATCAACTGTCCTTGGACCGTCTGGTATCAGCTTAAAAGAAAACAGTGAAAAGATAGGGACAAATTCTTGGTATAAATTCTTTGTGTGTGCGAAAATGCCTAATGTTGTAATTTTGTATGTACAAAAGTGAAATAATTGTGTAAATTCAGACAAAGGCGCAAAGACTTTAAAATCAGACTGATTTGAGAGTGTTTTTGTATGGGATTTCAGACAGTGCCAAATACAGACACTGCATATGATTTGTATTCTTAAAATGACTTGAATTATGGTTTTTATTCTCCATTTTATTTGACTTGACTTCTGTGTCCTAAAATATTTAACTTTTTTGAACTCGTTCCAACAAACTTAACTTGATTTGATTTGCCAATGAGGTTTATATTGGGCCACTACTTTTATCAAATGAGAGAGTAGACTAATCTAGATCCATCAAGAAGAAAGAAAATCATGAAATATAAAATCAGATTTTGTGTCATTTTAAGGCGTGAGGAAATACTTTTATTATTGGTATTTTTGCCTAATCGATTTCACTTGTTAATATGAGGCGAAATTGTTAATGCAAAGAAGTGTTGAAAAAGCTCCAAAAGGACGACGCCAGAAAGAAAGCAGGTTTTTCCTTTTGTCAAGAACTTTATGGGACTCTGTCGGAGTGAGAACAAGAGGGACGCTATAGTCACAGAGAAAGTGCCTGCTTGTGACTGGTGGACGTGGACTGGTGCTGTAAATATTCTTGTATTATATGTAAAGTGACCCTGTGAATAATTCTATGTGTAAGAATACGTGACCATATTCACCAAACTGAATGTACTGTAAATGACACTCTTCTGTGTGTATGGCCCCATTGTCCATTGCTTTTCGCACTGCAGAGACTGAGTTGAGTTGAGGTTAAAAGGACTTGAATCCAGACTATGATTGC